ACATTCCTGTCAGAATACTGCTACACATAGTTAATAGTGACTTCCGCCGACTTTACCATCCATAAACACGACTCACATAAATTGCATATTTCGTGATAAATACTTCTAGTTTTTATTGATGTTAGGAATATGTTTGCTAACTTCATTTAGAATCCAGGTGCTGGAATACAGGTGAGAGATTCTGCTTGATGTATATTATAATTTATGGCTGTAACATATGAAGGATACGATTCATGGATGTCTGGAACAATTTATGGCTGTTATTCTTTACGGTTCCGGTGGAGTTGCGGGGGGGGGGGGTGCATCCCTCGAATTTTGTATAACACCCAACCCAAACAATCAAGATTAGAGATTCATCAAAGCTATTCCCAACTATTCAGAGGAGGTTACTCTTGTGTTCCTCTAGTAAGTAACGACTAAGACTAATAATATGTTCAATATGCCCGTTCCTTTATTTCAAGGTTATGTCATTACATGAACAACAATAAAATACAGTTAGTAAATCATTCTATAATAATATGGGTGTCCGGCGTGGTGGGAGATAACGTTCACAACACAAACCCCTTAACGTCCTTGACGTCGCACATTGGTTAACCCGGTGATAATGGAGGCATATTCTGCCGACTTACTTATGGTGACATTTGTAACATTAACATGTACGACCAAGTTCCATCAAGGCCACTATTCTCACCTTTCTAATTAGTTAATAGGTTGTGATTATACGGTAATTGTTATAAAGTATCGGTTTTATCTCTTGGTTAGCTTTGGATATAACGAACCGTTATCTCCTCTTCCGACATTCTAGCACCCTTTATATAGGAAAATTAGACTGTCACGTGACGTTATCAACCAATGAATAATTGTCCCTTTTCTGAATGTCGCCACTTCTTTGAAAAATAGCCTACTTAAATATTAAAACGAACTTGTCCGTTTTACTTAAATTTGACCAGGAATAATTTGAGATGTACAACAAAAAGATTGATTATAAACAGACAAAATGGACAATAACTATTGAACCGAGTAATTTGATCAAATGTGATCATACCATGTTTAATTATTCAAGACGTAATAGGTAACAATATAATCCAGTTGAACTACGTCAACCCTGGTCATAAAACATAATTATTATAACAACCAAGATAAAATACTAGTGTTGACAATGATCATTAAACAAATAGAAATATATGTAACAATCTGACACAAGATGGACGTCTACGTTGTGACATATAAATATGTTCGTAACTAAGGACCATTTTAATGCAAGATTGAACATTTTGGAAAAGAAGTATGCAATGATATAATTTATAATAAGTGTACATTGAACAATAATAGCCCTATATAAAAGACCGAATTCTATATATTACAATATGATACATCTTTAAGAAAGTAAAATTAATGTTAGAAAATCTCCCGAGTCAGATTAAAAACAGAGTAATCAGAAGATTTTACCTAAGATTACAGGTGGCCTTGACTTTTGATCATATCCCATTTATATCATCTGTAGAGGATTCTGAATATTGACCAATTTTTAATTCATCATATCTTTGTATATACTCAACAGAATATTTGGGGGCCTGACACGGCCCCCAGTGATTCAATTTTTACAATATTTCATATATTAGAGACATTGAATACAATGTAAATAAATATTTTTGTAAGTAAATTGTAAATTTGAAGCTGAGATTGTAGAATATACATATTTGGTATTTTTCTCAACAAAAGTAGACGTATATTTTAAATTATTTCAAGAAATCTACAACTTCTTCTAGTTCTCTTTGTGCCCATCAATTCTCCATTACTTCAACTGACACTTTCCATTTTACATGATAAATTCGTTTATCACATGAAGGACATTTTTTACCTCCTGAAAAAAAAAAACCCAAACATAATCTTATATTATGTGTTACTTTTTATTTTAAATGTAGATTAAGTGATATAACATGAAATGGGGTTTAACGTCCTACTTTTCTGCTTCTACAGGACTAATGAAGATCGACATACGTCATACAGTGTACTATGAGGGAAAGTTTACTCAGACAGCGACATTCCCATCTAGTCTTCCACGACATTCCAACTGTCTGTCAAGGGTTCTATTAAGTGCACGACAATGTGTACAATATGGAGCCTTGCATTTCTGACTCGTCCAAACAAGAGAATAAACTTTTTATCTTCGGTCAACTATCTAAAGTGAGATCCGTGGTTTGAATATTGAACAAATTTAAAACAAAACAAAACAAATAAAAGACACAAGTAACACTTAATAAACATATCAGAACATCAAGTCAAAAATTAAAATCACAAAATTATTAACATTTAAAATATTCGCCATCCGCACTCCTTATCCTTAAAATGGTAAGTATAATATAAACATGATATTATGGAATAAAAATGGATTATCCCTGGCACATTCTATTATAATCTTGGTTTATTTTGACCAAATGAGATCAAAATGGTCACTTTCTACTCAGTTAAAGAAATTTGTCGATGAGTGAAGCCGATCCCTAATTTTTCTGGATCCCAAAACTACCTCATTTTGATGGTCACGCAAGTCACAAAAGTGAGTATATTTCTTTTATAGCACCCTTTTAAAATAACTTTATTATTTGACAAATATTAATGATAAATAAGCATAAAAAACTGAATATCTGAATGAATTTTTGTAATGCTATCAATTTTTTCTAGCGCAAAATAAACTACTTAAAGTCATGTCACGCGAGTCACATGTCACACGAGTCACGCTATATTGTTCTACTTTTAACTTTTTTTTTTTAGCAACTTTAGGGCAGTAATTCAGTTTGCTATACTGCTTGTAGCCTAACATGTTTTCATTCTAAAACTAATTTGTTGTTTTCTTTCCAGGATGTCACTGGTTGCTGAATCTTTTTCGGGTAAACGGTCCGATATAGCAATTTACAATAATTACTGCCAGAGTTATGGCTTTTGATCACTTTGAAAAATCTTGTGGACGCTCTAGAGGCAAATGTTAATATCCGATTGACTTTAAATTTATACACAGTGTTTAAGGTCATGAGACAAAGAAGCCTATTTGTTTTCAGAGATTTCCGATAATTACTGTCAGAGTTATGGCCCTTAATCACTACAAAAAATCTTGTGGACGCCAAAGTTAATATCCGATTGACTTTAAATCTGTAATCAGATTTTAGTGTATTATAAATGTTTCATTACAGAAAATTAAAAATATGCGACAACTCTTGTTGACTGCCCGGACGATTTAGCTGCTGTGGGCGTATGTTTCGTTGCCTGGCAACCTATCTTTAACAATTTTAGTGGCGTATTATCTATACTAGAGAAGCTTGAATCGCTGTGTCTATTGTATTACCAAACGTGTTTCGTCTTGTTGAACTTAACTCAGTATGTTTATAGTCAAACATTTGCTTCAGTTTAACAAGTTCTTATAAATCCCAAGTCTTCATTAAGATTTCGTACCGTTTTTTCGGGCATACCTATCATAAGAGAGCTTCGGGCATATTTTCGGGCATGCAGTGGAGAAGAAAAAGACGAGAAAATACTTTTCGGGCAGTGTGGATCTCATAGAAATAAGTTAGTTATATTTTTTCTCGAAACGTTAATAGGAAAAAAAGGTCGTCGAATTTTTCATTGCCCGAAAATAAAATTTTTTGGGGGGCGGGGGGGCAAATGCCCCCCCCCCCCCCTGTCCCCCCCCCCCCCGGCTCCTACGCCTATGGTATCATCCAAGCTTCAAGGATCAAACCAACTATTATTTGCGTAAAGGGGAAGGCCCATTTAACAAAAAATGCAGTCCAATTTACCAATTTACCAAACTCATCTGCGATTGTTGAGTAATGAAAGCTAATCGAAATCGAATAAAAATTATGAACTCTAACGTTAAACTATAATCCAGAGAGAGAAGAGAGAGAGAGAGAAGAGAGAGAGAGAGAGAGAGAGAGATGGGGTTTAACGTCCACTCGACAGACGACCATACTCTTTGTCACGTACAACCGGGGATTCGAAACCACGCCAGTCGACTCAATGACAGACTTTATGATACAGCGCGCGCACGCTAACCATTCAGCCATCCAAACCCCTATAATCACGAACTGCCCGTGCAAAAATTGACCCCAATCGACAAATTTGGGATATCAACATTTATATTTCAAATTTCATAAAAAATATAAAAATATTTTAATGGGAGCTCTGAAGATTCGACTAGCTAAAAGTACTATTAACAGGAGCTATGGCATAAAATTACTGTTTAATATTACACTTATGCCAATATTTATTGCGAGAAAGATTGTAAATGTGTTTTTGTTGTGTGTGTAATATTTATATAATTTAATCATTATCTTTTATCTATGTCCTGAACTGAGAAGACGATGTTGTTTTATTATATATCGGTAGTGTTAAACCACCTCTGATGAACAGTGTGGTTTTATTAGATACTAGCAGGATACCCGGCTTCTCTCGGGGGTCTAACTCCGAAACCGGAAGTGGTAGACTAACGCCACCTGGTCCGAGCTACCCCTATACCCCAAATTTCAGACTCGGGGCAGACCTAGTGTAGCCGCCAACCCCGTACAGACAGACAAACAGACAGACAAACGACAGTCACAAATATTACTATAGATTGGTAGTTTAGAATCACCTCTGATGAACATTTACCCATACTTTCTTCGATTTCTTTCGTCCGAGTAAATTTCCTACAAAGTCTAACATATGTTGCTCCTGACAAGTTCGAACTATACTACAACTAATTTAGTCAATATATTTTCCCCACCATACCCCTCGCTTGATCAGAAGGGACATTGATGATCCTAAACCAAGAAATCATTCATCTGCCCTCAGCCTTTTGATTTTTTAAAACAATATTTTATTCAACATATCTGAATGGATCTTTGTAACACCTCTGTCCATCAACATTTTGATGATGGGTATCTAATCTGTGTTGAACAGATGGTGATAGACAGTTTTTTACTAGTCCATACATTAGCTACCTTATTTATAATCAGTGTAAACTATACCTGGTCTTGTATTGGATGACATAATAGTTGGTTGCGTTACCCCATAAGTCCCATCCATTTCGAGTGGTTCTTGTTTAATCGCTAGGCCTACTGGGTCACTCGTTCTAGCTGTCATATCTACTGCTATATCAGTTGTTTTAACATGATCTTCTAAAATATAATATATAAACATGGTATTAGGATATAAGGCTGTGATTCCACTAGTTATAGGATGTAGAATATAAACAGGTTAATATATAAACATGGTATTAGGATATAAGGCCGTGTTTCCACTAGTTATAGGATATAGAATATAAACAGGGTAATATATAAACATGGTATTAGGATATAAGGGCGTGATACCACTAGTTATAGGATGTAGAATATAAACAGGTTAATATATAAACATGGTATTAGGATATAAGGGCGTGATACCACTAGTTATAGGATGTAGAATATAAACAGGGTAATATATAAACATGGTATTAGGATATAAGGCCGTGATACCACTAGTTATAGGATATAGAATATAAACAGGGTAATATATAAACATGGTATTAGGATATAAGGCCGTGATACCACTAGTTATAGGATGTAGAATATAAACAGGGTAATATATAAACATGGTATTAGGATATAAGGCCGTGATACCACTAGTTATAGGATATAGAATATAAACAGGGTAATATATAAACATGGTATTAGGATATAAGGCCGTGATACCACTAGTTATAGGATGTAGAATATAAACAGGTTAATATCGTAAATCATCTTATGACCCTAAACACTGGATAAATGTAAAGTCAATTGATTATTAACTGTAGCGTCTAGATCATCGAGAAGGAATATACCTTTCAATAAAACATTTAAAACACATCAACAATGATATAAATAAATATTTTACCTTGCTCATCTTCTAATACATCGTTAAACATGGAGTCTTGGTTCTCATACAAAACACAGTTGGCGATATTTTTAACATTACGTCGACATGTTGATATTATCTCCTGCTTTACGTTGATCTTTTGATGGTCAGACTTCACCTTCGATAAAATAACAGTGTTGTTGGCCTTCTTGACCACAACTTTCACAACATCAACCTCGCCATGGTCCTTGTGTATCTCTGATCTGTTCCCGACTTCTGAATATGATACATCATAGTGTTCATCGATTCCACCAAGCATTAACTGGTTTCTATCACCCAATCCTCTTATCATTGATTGGTTAACATGGTAACCAGATATTTCTTCATGGCTCTCATCTCTACCTGAATTTAAAGATATTGTAAAATAGCATTACCTTTTCTTACCTTTTCCTGGAGAGAGAGAGAGAGAGAGAGAGAGAGAGAGAGAGTATAACGAATTTGTGATAAAATTTAATCAGTTAAACTTACTTGATTCTAATTGTTCAACTATTGTCGTGTAACCTTCTTCCTTTAAACTATCAATGAAACTTTGGTAGGAATTTGGTCCGCCATTAAGTAATGTATTAACTAGTTCACGGGTCATAGCCCTTTTTCCTTTTACGTCTTTTATTTTTTCCATATCGTCCGTATCAAAAACTGATTTTCCAAACAGACGATCCGATAAACGTTCCGGATCAGTTATATTATCCAGTAGAAACGCATAATTATCTTTAATGTTTTTTTCATCCTCTTGAAGCATCTTTCCTCTCTCTCTACGACTTGGTTCATATTTGCGTTTCTTAGCACGAGATATATTGAGTGTATTAAGGCTGCTGCCATGATGAAATGTTGAAGTACTGGCTAGTTCAGTGTATGATTGTCTGCTAGTTGAACTTAACCACTGTGTTGATTGTCTTTCCCTTTCTAGCAGTTGAATTTCCATTTCTCTTTTGTCCAAATCGATTTCCTTATTTCTTGTATCTTCAATCAATTTAGCACGTTCTTCAGTCCATTGTTTCAGGAGTTGCTCCTTCTCTTCCTGCCAAATCTGTTCTTGGCGATTCTGTTTCTCGCATTGTTTCATGAGTTGTCCCCTCTCTTTCTGCCAAATCTGTTCTTGGCGATTCTGTTTCTCGCATTGTTTCGTGAGTTGCTCCTTCTCTTTCTGCCAAATCTGTTCTTGGCGAATTTGTTCTTTCTTAAGTTCGTCTCTTTCAGCTAAAGCTTTTTGTTTGCGATCTTCTTCGTCGCATATTCTTGCCTCAAATAATTTCTTCGCCTCTTCGTACATTTCGTTTTCATAAAAGTCTCCACCATTATTCTGTATAGTTGTCTGAAGTAATTGTAAGATTCTGTTCACATCCTTCATCTTGCCTTCTGTTTCATCTATGTTATTGATCGTTGCGTATCGGCGGTGTTTAAAAACATCACTAAATGTTGATAACTGAGTATGAAGTTCATGCATAGCCTCTTCTTCACTTCTGTTTCTCAGATGATCTTTCCCAGTTAATACCACAACGGCAAATTTATCAATTAATTCACCGAAAGTATTTTTAAAATATTCAAGAACTTTTATGTCCTCTTGTGAGAGTCTTAAGTCGATTCGAAAGACAAAGATAAATAAATGTGGCCCTGGTGATAAAATATTAATACATTTAACGATTTCCTTAGCTATTGTTTTGTTACTGTTACCCGTGTCAAACAAACCTGGTGTATCCACAACTTTTAGTAAGGAATCCACACCATTTAATTGAAGATGTCGTTGTCCTAAACCACATTCTGATGTTACAGAGGTGGGCTGTTGTTGTGATTTAAAAGTATCTTGTTGTAACAGCGCATTTCCTAATGCGCTCTTACCAACTCCTGTCTTTCCTATAATAGATACCCGGATTTCTGAAGAATAATAAAAACACCATTAGACTACTGAAGTGATCAAAGATTTATAAATATTATAAAAGTACACTAGCACACAAGTTCAGATTGAGAACAATTATTGACATTTAAATGGTATTTGGTGTTCAATGGTCAAGTGTGTGAGATGAATTAAGCAGGGTTTATCGCCCTACTTTTCTTGAACCAACTGGGTTGAAGTAAAGCCTACCCCACCCCACCACTAGAAGTTAAATAATGTGAGCAGTGATCAAAGGTCGTCTATATTTGAATAATGATTTTAGTAATAGACTAAATTTTATAATGGCGCTGTTCAATAGGTCCTTATAACTGGCCAATAGAGTTTATAACTGGTCAATAGAGTTCATATTTTAATGTTTATGTTTAAAATATATTTACCTGTACTAGTATTGCCATGTGAAACTAAAGCTGATACTGTATCTGTACTACTACTGGTACTAGCTGATGGCTGTGTTTCTATTTGGGGGATTGTATTCTTCTTAGTGGAATGTCTTGCTGAAGATTTCCCTTTACCATTATTTATCTTGCCTGACATGATGCCTTGAATAGATCGTCCTGCCAATAAAGTTAATAAGGATTGTAATAAATGAACTCGACCACAGCAGAGAGATGAAAAGAGAGAGAGAGAGAGAGAGAGAGAGAGAGAGAGGTCGAAATATTTATGAATGATTGATATATATAGACAGCCAGTAACATAAACTGTGAAGTCCCTATAACTCTTGACAAAAGTGTTTAGTATGATAGAGTACAGATGTGAAACCTTTGCTAAAATTTGACTGAATCACCGCTGCCAGGACAAAATGACCCCTCCGTTTATTGCATAGCGATTATCAATACATGTACCAGTGCTATTGGCGCAGTGAGCATTACACAGAAAGTCATAGGTTCCATTCTAGAGTTGGCCGAGAAAATCAGTGGTGTAGAACAGAGGTCCTAGCAAGGTGTCTAGTTTTTCGGACGTCCAGCATTGTACTTGCACATATGAAATAACTATAATAGCTCGCAGCACGCTGCATGATGCATGCCCATTTTCATTTACCCATTGGTGCAGAAATGTAAGATGTTTAATTGACCCAAATTTGGGAATCAATAGGATTCGTCCTCTGGCTAAAACAAACAATAGAGTACAGACTGTCACAGTCACGTGGTTTTCAGAAAAGATGGGAAGTCTCGCTTTAGTTAAATTCTTAAAATAAGCCATCGTTAAGAACCACGTTCAGAAATTATGACTGATACGAAATCTTAATGAAGACTTGGGATTTATAAGAACTTGTTAAACTGAAGCAAATGTTTGACTATAAACATACTGAGTTAAGTTCAACAAGACGAAACACGTTTGGTAATACAATAGACACAGCGATTCAAGCTTCTCTAGTATAGATAATACGCCACTAAAATTGTTAAAGATAGGTTGCCAGGCAACGAAACATACGCCCACAGCAGCTAAATCGTCCGGGCAGTCAACAAGAGTTGTCGCATATTTTTAATTTTCTGTAATGAAACATTTATAATACACTAAAATCTGATTACAGATTTAAAGTCAATCGGATATTAACTTTGGCGTCCACAAGATTTTTTGTAGTGATTAAGGGCCATAACTCTGACAGTAATTATCGGAAATCTCTGAAAACAAATAGGCTTCTTTGTCTCATGACCTTAAACACTGTGTATAAATTTAAAGTCAATCGGATATTAACATTTGCCTCTAGAGCGTCCACAAGATTTTTCAAAGTGATCAAAAGCCATAACTCTGGCAGTAATTATTGTAAATTGCTAAAAATCAATAGGCTTCTTCGTCGCATGACCTTAGACACTGTGTATGAATTTAAATTCAATCGGATATTCACTTTGGCCTCTAGAGCGTCCACAAGATTTTTTGAAGTGATCAAGGGCCATAACTCTGGTAGTAATTATCGGAAATCGCTGAAATCAATAGGCGTCTTCGTCTCATGACCTTAAACACTGTGTATGAATTTAAATTCAATCGGATATTCACTTTGGCCTCTAGAGCGTCCACAAGATTTTTTGAAGTGATCAAGGGCCATAACTCTGGTAGTAATTATCGGAAATCGCTGAAATCAATAGGCGTCTTCGTCTCATGACCTTAAACAATGTGTATAAATTTAAGATCAATCGGATATTAACTTTGGCCTCTAGAGCGTCCACAAGATTTTTTGAAGTGATCAAGGGCCATAACTCTGGCAGTAATAATCGGAAATTGCTGAAAATCAATAGGCTTCTTCGTCTAAAGACCTTAAACACTTTGTGTATAAAATTAAAGTCAAACAGATATTAACTTTAGCCTCTAGAGCGCCCACAAGCAATTGTGGACGACGGACCGACGGGTGGACGGACGGGGGCGACGACAATATACGACCACATTTAAATATGGGCGTATAAAAATGGATGATTTATCAGAAAATAAAGAAGACAACGGTCAGACAGATAAAACTGTAATGGGTGTAGAACATTTACAAGTTAGGGTGGCAGTGGAGGCTACAACGATACAATTCGAAAAGGACATGATACAACAAATTTAAATCTTTTGACAACCCAATAGCTCAGTTTGACAATAATTCATGTAATAGTGTGAATATATAGAGTCGTGTCTACTTGACTGTATATACATGTGTGTTTTATAATACAAGTATCGTATGATACAAGACAGAGATGATGTCATCACGCCTGGTTGATTACGATTCAGTTAAAGAGACATATCATGGACAAATAATCAAAAAATGACAGAAGTTCAGTTTAACCAAGAATTTACAAATAATATACAAATTATAATTACCCCTGGATTTATTTATTTGATTTCATATATTCTATATTAAAGAGTCACCCAGCGGTTCATTCCCATATCGCCGACTCGCCGAGTTTTAGGGTAAAAATTTTAGTCGGTGTTAAGGGGTTGAGTGGCCAAGAACAATAGACCCAAGCTGAAGGATAAAACTAATTAACCAGATAATTTTGGGAGCATTTTTTTTTTTAAATGCATAACTTTTAACACATAGTCCAAACATTCTAACAAATTCACCCTTCCTTGTTTTTATCTATGTTTCGAAAATTCCTGTTGATATCGGTGTATTAAAGTGGTTGTCGCTGGTCACTTGAATACTGCAATAACCGAACTGCAATCGTCTTTTGCTCTTCTTGCAAAATACCATTATTAGAAGCTAAAGAGTTGTTGGTTATTCGCGTGGTTTGGTTGTGGTTCCATTGTATCTGTGTAAATTGGCCGTCTAACCATTGCGTAACCGTATAGTCGGCCAACTGTCTATATTTCTCATTAATTTGGGAAATTTCTTATTACTGACTCTATAAACAGTATTCTTCTTGGAGTAAAAGGTTGACATGATGGCGATGGTGGCTATACATCCCTTGCTATAGCCACCCAGCTATAGCCTATATGGTATATCAGAATTAAAACGTATCAAATAAGATAATAATACAATATGCCTTTCTAATCAATGGATATATCGTCAACTACTTTAATATTTCAATAAATAAAAATAGATGATATAATTACTGTATTCAACAATATTTGGCTGGGTGATTCTTTTTTTCTTTTAAAATATAAAACATGTTATCGCCTACTCCACTCAGATTATGTTTTGTTTCTATTATTTTGTCTCCTACATCAGATATTTTGACGTTTCGAAAGGAAAATTACAGATGTCCCAGATATGGCTATGTTATTATCCAAGTTGTTAGTTGTTAGATATACCCTTGTAATAATGGTATATTCACACATCGATGACGTGAAGTATGTTTTATTAGAAGTCAATATATATCATATCTATATTACAACTTTTACAAAACTAACATAGGTCTACTCGATTGAACGTTCCAGAATTGAATTCTGGCAATCCCCAAAATTAGTGACACACGAGTGAAAAGGGGTATTTCGGGTTATAACACATGCGTCAACTGAATAAGAAAATATCTCAACCAACCATGCAGGCCAAACATATTTGTTGTGTTTAAACACGTCACTATTCTATTCACATCACCTCCGTGGTCAGGACTGACCGATCTGTGACAGGACCATGGGCGTCACCTGTACATATCCCAATATGTTGGTGTGATGTTTTAGTTTAACCCCGTAAAATATGCCAAAACAGTGTTTACAGAAGACTGAAACTTTAATATTTTTTTATGAGGGTGACCCTCCCACATCTCCCTATCGCACTACATCGTGCCCCCGGCGTCACAGATTGTCAACATTTTATATAATTTCATTTGCGGCCCCCCCCCCCCAATATATATTTCACGGCTACGCCTCTGGACAGGACTGAATTCCGCGTTAATCGATAGCAATTCTGTCCGTTCTGGACTGCGAATCGAGCACCCCCTAGTAGCCTACAAGGTAGTACATTACTAATACATATATTATAGTAACATAGACTAGATTATATTAGACATTGTTGATACAACATTATTTAACAAATCATAGAGATGAATACAATACATGTACGTTAAGGTATATCTTTAAAAACTAAACAAGGTTAAGCATATACATACCAACTTTGTTTGATTCTAATATATTATATACAATGTTATAAAACCCCAGTTATTACCTTGTCTTGATCTGTTAAACAATTGTTCAGCTATTCCTCGTTCTACTAACCCTGTCCATCCCCTTAACAAACAACACGTCAGGTCTATTTTTAACTGGAAAATCCAGGCTTATATATATAGACACGTGCCGGCAAACCCGATTTCTATATTTAAAGATGCATTATGTTGGAGTTAAATCTGTTTATTACAGGTCTTTATATTAGCTTCAAAAGTTATAAAAATTATTATTTAGACATGTATTCACATGGCAAGCCTGTGATCAACCCATTCTCTAGAACATCGGATGGCGGAGATTTAAACGGATTGAAACTCGATCTCCATTTTATTCTGTCTTTGTATCATTAAATAATAAATATTAATGGGAGAAATTGGTCAGGAACACAAGATTTCTTCGAATTCCTAGTGCCGAGGAATATACAAAGATTTATATATGGCCTCAAATATTGAACAAGAAGGATTTAGTCTGTCCAGTTTAAATGTTGTACACATAAATCAAATGACAACAATTGGTGCCAACGTCAAACTCACCCATAACCAAACTGCTCCCTCACCCACCCCAATTACAAAACAACGAAAAGAAAATCAAAAACAAAAATACTCTGATAATTCGCCCCACACCGTTTTACAAAAGCTTATAACAATAAAAGTGCTTACTAATCGTGGGGCAATATCAACATAAAATATATGTTTATTTCATAAAATTAATTGAAAGAAGATAATATTTATTGATATGTTATGATAATAAAAGCTCCAATTGTACAACCATATTAATACAATAATATTATTTTAGAGGTATTAAGTAACTGGATAGAGCAATCAAATATAACACATACTTATTGAAAAACAGCTACTACTATATTTAGTAACTGAATACAGCAATATAACACTCATACCCTACTGTTCTGCCCCGACTGAGCTAATGAACATGGCATACGCCAAACAGTAGGCTATGAGGTAAATTTTGCCGTATAGCGGCACTATGGTCTACTCTTATACCGAATTCCAACTGCCAAGGGATCTTTTACGTGCATGCCAATGTATACAAGGGACCTCGGGTTTTCGTCCCATCCGAACGACTAGACAGCTCTCCTTGTCAGGCTCCCCGTTCTGTACCACTGACAAGGGGAAACCACGTCGGAAAACATACTTATGGAAAAACAGCTACTAATTTATTTGGTTGAAGCTGGGATACTGTCACATCACCATATTGATAACGATAATAATCTTTAATGCTTCTTATATTAATTACTAGCTGTTGTTCCATACAGGATGTGTAATAGTTTAATATAATACATATATTAAACTAGATTTAAAGAAGATTTCTTTATTCCTATCGTGTTTAAATAATAATGACATCATTACCTGGAATAACTGTACTTTGAATTACTTGTATCGGCGTCTACAGATGATATTTTACATCAGAGGATGAACGAATTAATATTTATACTGTCAGGTTTTAGACGGTGGGTGGAGATATAGTAGTCTGCATTCTACAAGACTCGATTACATAGTCTCTAAGCGCGCAATGCCTAAATCCATGAATGAATATGCAAATAAATTACTTGATAACAAGAGCTATTAAACTGGTTTTCCCCTTACGATAAATAGATATTGAGTCACATGTCACGTGTCTAAGTGATTTAAATGTAACCAGGTGTAAAATTTACCTGTTTATTTTAATAAATAGACTATATATATATATATTCAATTAACTAGTTTAATACCGAGTCTAATGACAGGAACTCATCTTTTTATTTAAACCCACCGTGTTATTAAGCTAGAGGTTTAGTTTCTTTAAATGACAAGACATATTGGTACAGAAGTAAAACTACTCAACATAAAACAGTTTATAAAACTGATGGAAATATTCTCACGTTTCTCTGTCGAAATTTACCAAAACTTCTATTTGAAGTCAACACCTAATTTTAAAGGGCTGCCATTATTACAAAGTTATATGTGTGTGTGTTTTATTTATTTCTTCTTTACAGACAAATACTGAAACACATAATTATGATATACTAGATTAAACAGAATCCTCAGTGACCGATGATCGACAATACTATAACTAATACCATTACTAGAACATAAATATCTTCCACGATACCAAATAAAACATCTAACTACCATGAAACTATAGACAGAATTTAAATCTGTTTTAAAACCTCATCTATTTAATAAGGTGTGATCATTGATATACTCTAGATATACTTTACCCATAATATACAATGTGACTGAACAGTGATTAGAAATAACCATTGAACATAATGTAGCGCTATATAAGACAATTATTATTATTAATTATTATAATTACATTAATATACTTGTCCAATATAAACCAAACAATCTGATAATAAAAGGACATTTCAACCTTCAATTAGAAAAAAAAACCAGTCCATAATATTTCTAAAAATTACTCAATAATCTTAAATGTGAAATCTGAAAATGCGCAGTAACTCGGCCAGATACATTTCGTACACCGTTTGATATAATGTTACAATCTGCCTACAAACAATACCACAGTACAGAAACTGCTTTACTCAAAATCACCAGCGATATCTACCGAGCTATCTAAGATCAACAGAAATTGATCAAACGCTAGTTAATTTTGATAAAGAAATAATTTCAGGAACCCATAAAGCTCTAAATATTGGTGCTATATTAGACTCGAACCTATCGTTTAAAGATCATATACAAAGTATTTGTTCCACTGCTTTCTATCATATACATCGAATTGAGAAGATCCAACGCTATCTCAATTATGAAAAGAAAGAAAAACCCATCTACGCATTCATCTCAACTAAACTAGATTACCATAATGGCTTACTATACGGCTTACCAGACTATCGGATTAACAAACTACAACATGTTCAAAATTCAGCAGCTCGACTCCTCGCTAAACCAGAAAACATCAACACATCTCCCCTGTATTGCAATCTTTACATTGGCTTCCAATTCAGCAAAGAATTAAGTTCAAGTTACTCCCCTTTCGTTTTCAAAGCGTTAAATGACCAAGCTCCATCTTATATAAAAAGTTTTGTAGAACCCTACACTACCAGCAGAATTCTCCGTTCTCAGAAAAAAACATCTTCTAAAATCTCCAGCCATTAACTTACAACTTGGAAAACGTTCCTTTTCTTGTGCTGGTCCTTTTCTATGGAATAGACTACCACAATCAATGAAATAACTACCGTCTGGGGGCCATTTTAAATCTCAACTCAAAACATTCTTATTTCAAAACCCTGATCTGTAAATAACCAGTGAATATACAGTGGCGGCGCCAGGGAGGGGGGGGGGGCAATCTGGTCTGCCCTGTTTGCCCCCTCCCCCCCAATAATTTTAGAAAATAAAAAAAAGTATTTGTGATATGTTTCGGTAATCAATATCTTCTACAGTGAATAAATCCCACATCCCCACTCAGTCATAAACTTGCATGTTGTAAAGCATTTCCGACAGTCTATTTTTCAAAATTTTCTTGGCAAAGTCCCCAATGGACTCGTTACTTTGGCGTTCACAAGGGGTATTCGTTGAGGTTCGCAAATCCGTTCGTTTGACATTTTGTTCTCTAGTCGGATAAACTAGTGATCAGGCGACGGACGGTATCTGGTCAGATCTATTTATCTCGACGATCGGTGCCTGGGAATACTGTAAGACAGCATTTCCGGCAGTCTATTTTTCAAAATTTTCTGGGGGAGGACTCCCTACTTTGACGCTCGTGAGTGGGCTTCGTCGTGATTCGCAAGTCCGTTCGTTTGACACTTTACCTCATCGATCAGTGCCTGAAATACTGCCAGGTTGCATTTCCGGCAACTTGTTTTTTAAAATTATCTGGGGGAGGCCCCCTACCCCTAGTCGAAGCTCGTGCCTTTGCCCCCTTAACCTTGCCCCAGCTTTGCCCCTCCAATCACCGACAGCTGGCGCCGCCACTGTGAGTATATAAACAAACAGAGCCTTAAAAACTGTTTTCTTCTTCAGTATTAACGCGCTTTATAAATGACGATATTATTATTATTATTATTATTATTATTATTACCTTAACTTGATCTGTCAAACAATATTGTTCGTCGTTCGACTCACTGTACAATATGTCCACCCCCTTCACAAACCACACGTCAGGCCTATTTTTACCTGGAAAATCCAGGCTAATATATATATTAATATTGAACAAGAAGGATTTAGTCTGTCCAGTTTAAATGTTGTACACATAAATCAAATGACAACAATTGGTGCCAACGTCAAACTCACCCATAACCAAACTGCTCCCTCACCCACCCCAATTACAAAACAACGAAAAGAAAATCAAAAACAAAAATACTCTGATAATTCGCCCCACACCGTTTTACAAAAGCTTATAACAATAAAAGTGCTTACTAATCGTGGGGCAATATCAACATAAAATATATGTTTATTTCATAAAATTAATTGAAAGAAGATAATATTTATTGATATGTTATGATAATAAAAGCTCCAATTGTACAACCATATTAATACAATAATATTATTTTAGAGGTATTAAGTAACTGGATAGAGCAATCAAATATAACACATACTTATTGAAAAACAGCTACTACTATATTTAGTAACTGAATACAGCAATATAACACTCATACCCTACTGTTCTGCCCCGACTGAGCTAATGAACATGGCATACGCCAAACAGTAGGCTATGAGGTAAATTTTGCCGTATAGCGGCACTATGGTCTACTCTTATACCGAATTCCAACTGCCAAGGGATCTTTTACGTGCATGCCAATGTATACAAGGGACCTCGGGTTTTCGTCCCATCCGAACGACTAGACAGCTCTCCTTGTCAGGCTCCCCGTTCTGTACCACTGACAAGGGGAAACCACGTCGGAAAACATACTTATGGAAAAACAGCTACTAATTTATTTGGTTGAAGCTGGGATACTGTCACATCACCATATTGATAACGATAATAATCTTTAATGCTTCTTATATTAATTACTAGCTGTTGTTCCATACAGGATGTGTAATAGTTTAATATAATACATATATTAAACTAGATTTAAAGAAGATTTCTTTATTCCTATCGTGTTTAAATAATAATGACATCATTACCTGGAATAACTGTACTTTGAATTACTTGTATCGGCGTCTACAGATGATATTTTACATCAGAGGATGAACGAATTAATATTTATACTGTCAGGTTTTAGACGGTGGGTGGAGATATAGTAGTCTGCATTCTACAAGACTCGATTACATAGTCTCTAAGCGCGCAATGCCTAAATCCATGAATGAATATGCAAATAAATTACTTGATAACAAGAGCTATTAAACTGGTTTTCCCCTTACGATAAATAGATATTGAGTCACATGTCACGTGTCTAAGTGATTTAAATGTAACCAGGTGTAAAATTTACCTGTTTATTTTAATAAATAGACTATATATATATATATTCAATTAACTAGTTTAATACCGAGTCTAATGACAGGAACTCATCTTTTTATTTAAACCCACCGTGTTATTAAGCTAGAGGTTTAGTTTCTTTAAATGACAAGACATATTGGTACAGAAGTAAAACTACTCAACATAAAACAGTTTATCAAACTGATGGAAATATTCTCACGTTTCTCTGTCGAAATTTACCAAAACTTCTATTTGAAGTCAACACCTAATTTTAAAGGGCTGCCATTATTACAAAGTTATATGTGTGTGTGTTTTATTTATTTCTTCTTTACAGACAAATACTGAAACACATAATTATGATATACTGGATTAAACAGAATCCTCAGTGACCGATGATCGACAATACTATAACTAATACCATTACTAGAACATAAATATCTTCCACAATACCAAATAAAACATTTAACTACCATGAAACTATAGACAAAATTTAAATCTGTTTTAAAAACTCATCTATTTAATAAGGTGTGATCATTGATATACTCTAGATATACTTTACACATAATATACAATGTGACTGAACAGTGATTAGAAATAACCATTGAAAATAATGTAGCGCTATATAAGACAATTATTATTATTAATTATTATAATTACATTAATATACTTGTCCACTATAAACCAAACAATCTGATAATAAAAGGACATTTCAACCTTCAATTAGAAAAAAAACCAGTCCATAATATTTCTAAAAATTACTCAATAATCTTAAATGTGAAATCTGAAAATGCGCAGTAACTCGGCCAGATACATGTCGTACACCGTTTGATATAATGTTACAATCTGCCTACAAACAATACCACAGTACAGAAACTGCTTTACTCAAAATCACCAGCGATATCTACCGAGCTATAAATCAACAGAAATGGTTATCTTGGTACTCTTAGATCTATCAGCCGCATTTGATACGCTCAATACCGAGGATCTCCTTGATGCATTATGGTGTGAAATTGGCTTGCGTGGTTTAAGTCATATTTAACCAACCGAACCCAAACTGGCAGAATTAGAGATTCAACATCCGACGATAATACAATGCTTTGTGGGGTACCACATGGTTCTGTACTCGGACCTGTACTTTTTATTATCTTCACAAAGCCTATTACTAAGATGGCTGAAGGCTCTGGGCTAAATATTCATTTGTTTGCAGACGATTCATTTCTTTGCAGACGACACCCAACTCTATATTGAATTTGACACAGACTCTCAACATTCTACGATACAAAATATAGAACTTTGTCTCACAGAATTT